TATACAGTAAAATTTATTGTTGGTTCTTAACAGTGAAAAGCCAGGGATAGCCAAAGGTAAACTCATGGGAGGAGTCAGGTAAACTATAATCTTATTTACTTTATAAGATACATACGGAGTGATTAAAAATGATATTTATACAGAGAATGGTATTTATACCATGCCAGGCATAAAAAAAGGTAGGATACCCACTTGTGTGTTTTAATACAATTTCAGCAATTAAATACCCTATGCATGGAGAGTGGGATTACAGAAGTACAATACCTTGTTGACAGTCGTATGGGTAGGTAGTCAGACTTGAAGCTTTTTCTGCTCTCCAGTTATTCTTTGTGACATGTATAGGAACGAAAGATACACTACGTTAGAAGGAAAGCCTGTAGTAGGCAAGAGGTGAGCGCAGCAGCCGCTCTAACAGACATGGCCAGCCAGCTGTGAATGAGACGCAGAGTGTCTGTCTGTCCTCCTGGAGCTTGCAGTTCACTGGGGGCGGCAGGCCATAAACAATCAACCCCTGAATGGGATGAATTATAAAAGGGGAGGGGAGAGCATGTGGAAGCGTAGTGTAAGGATAATTTACCCACAAGGAGTTTAGGGAAGGTCCCCCTGGTGTAGTGACACAGAAGCAGGGCTGGAAGACAGGAGTGACTGTGTGAACAAGGCAGCAGAATTGCAGGCAGAGAAAGTGGCATGTGCAGAGAAAGGCCCATAGTCAAGAGCGTGGCGTATCCTGGAAACGTCAGTAAGTTCAGGGTGGCAGCAGTGGGCTGTAGAAGATGAGCCAGGGTAAGAAGAGAGTTGGCCATTTCTAACTACAGTGAGAAATTCAGATTTTATCCTGTCCTTAGGGCAAGCAGAAACTGACATGAGTAGATTTACATATTTATTTTTACTCTCAGACCACACTGGAGAATCAATGCAAGAAGGGGCAAGAAGGCATGCTGAGAAAGCTGCAAGGAGGGAGGGGGCGGGGAGCCTTATTCCAGGTAAGATGGTGGCTCCACGGTGCAGCAAGGGGGGCACCTAGAGAGTAGGATGCCAAGTGAAACAAGACCGAGAAGACAAGCACCAAATGATTTCACTTATATGTGCAATCTAAAAAACAAGCAAAAAGAAAAAGAAACAGACCCATAGAGAATAAACTGATGCTTGCCAGGGAGGAGTGTGGTGGGGGATGGGCACAGTGGGTGAAGGGGAGAGGGAGAGAGAGGCTCCTGGTTGGGGAATGAGTCAGTCGCAGGGAGGGGGGGAACAGGATGGGGACTACAGTCAATGGTACTGTAATAGTGATGCATAGTGTTTGGCAATAGCCACACTGGTGGTGAGCAGAGCTTACTGTAGAGACCAGTCACTAATGGTATGCCCAAAACTAGTGTACATTCTGTGTTGACTATATCACAATTTTTAATATCATTTTTTAAATGAATATGATAAAGTCCTACTATCTTTGAGAAATAATTAAAATTCCAAATAATAGTTCAAAAAAATTTTTTTAATGCAGGAGGGGGCCCCTGGGGTAGCTTAATCGGTTAAGCATCTGACCCTTGGTTTCAGCTGAGGTCATGATCTCAGGGTTGTGGGACGAAGCCCCACGTGGGGGCTCAGCGAGGAGTCTGCTCAAGTTTCTCTTTCCCTCTCCCTCCACCCCTGCACTCACTTGCTCTCTCTCAAATAAATAAATCTTTTTTTTTTTTTAAGATTTTATTTATTTATTTGACAGAAATCACAAGTAGGCCGAGACTCAGGCAGAGAGAGAAGGGAAGCAGGCTCCTCGCTGAGCAGAGAGCCCGATGCGGGGCTCCATCCCAAGACCCTGAGATCATGACCCGAGCTGAAGGCAGAGGCTTTAACCCACTGAGCCACCCAGGCGCCCCAAATAAATCTTTTAAAATAGATGAATGAGTGAATGAATGAATGAATGAATGCAGAAGAAGTCTTCCTTTTGTACTAAGATTAATACCGGATGGCTGATTGGGGATTTAAAGTTTAGTAAGAGCCCAACACTATAAACAGTTTTTCTTTTAAAATCTTCTAATTAAGTGGCAAGATTTTTAGTTTTTAGTGTATTAAATCTTTTAATTACCTAACAAAGCCTTTAGAAATCTCCAGGACTGATAAATCCTGGGTTAGCCCTGGATGAACGTCATATCGTGGAAATATCATATATTCTTTTAAAATTGTGCAGAATCCAAGATGTTTCCCAATGAAGGAATGATGGTAATGGGAAAATGAAAAACCCAGAAGGGGGAAAAGAAAAAAATAACATTTGGTTTTGTGACAGATCTCCTTCTGTCACCATGAGCTCCTTGAGAAGCAGGGGCTTCTATACCTCGCGTGGGGCCCGGGCAGGGAGGGGGTGGAGGTATCCTTGTGGAAGGAAAGAAGGAACGAACGAACGAACGAACGAACAAATAAGTGAACAAATAAATGTATAAATGTATGGATTAAAGAAGGTGTTTGAGGATCTTCTTGACCTTTCTTGGTTTGGTTATTTTCATTTCCTGGCAGGGGCCGCCACTCACACCTCTTAAACCTGCTGATGCCCCAGCTAGAGATGGAAAGTGGAGGGAGGAGGTCAGAAAAGGCTCCCTTCTATGTATTGGTCACTTAAGGATGTGTTACTTCACACATATTTCAAAGTTAGGTAAATTGGAACCTTGCCTCGTTTTCCTGAAAAACTGGCAACCCAGGAAACTTTTATTCAAATATTTGTCATAAATGCTATTTGGTTAAAATGTAGAGTTTGTGGCTAAACATAACTTCATAAATATGCATTTACGATGCTTGTTATAAGCGTTTCCAAAAGCCAAAATTGGAAAAGGCCACATTCCCAGAAAGGAGAAGGAAACTGCATTTTGGGGAACTATTGTGCTTCAGGTAGTGTGCTGACCTACCCTTTTACGAATGGGGACACGGAGGATGGATGTTGAGCAACTTACCCACAATCATGTGGTTAATAATGACAGACTCTGAACTTGAACTCAGATCTGTCAGACTTCAAAGCCCATCCATGCTCCTTGTGCTCTTTTTGCTTTTATGTCATAAAAACAAAGAAAAGTCAATATGGGTCTGTAGGAGTAAGGCATAGTAGAAAAATCCAGATAGGAAGGTGCTGTAAGCAAAAGCTCTTTGAAGACTGTTCCTGTGAACTCTGAGGAGGGAGAAAAGAGAAATAAAGATTCTGAACTCGACTCTTCCTCCTTGTTGGCACCTTCGTCTGTAAATTTTTAATTTTAATTAATTTTGCAAATCACCAAAATAAGATGTTGCCTTCCCTGCTTGCTTAGCATTGAGGTCTGCAGAAACATCTCTCCGTCCTCATGTTGACTTATTTTCGGAGTCCAGTGTTAACTAATTTCACGGACTGCATTGTTACAGTTAGACCAATCCATTGTTTCTCTCATTTTAAAAGAGCTTTTATCCTGAGTTTTCTTCCTCCTTTTAAATGCTGCCTACCTTCGACAGGCTGTTGTTAGGGCAATATTAAGTCTTTTCTCAGGACTGTCTTATTGGCCCTGGTACTCTGAGTCTCTTTCACTACCATTTGTCACAGTTGATGAGGTTGTTCCCATCTGCCAGGCATATGGAATTGGTGGTGCTCAGCAAATCTTTGTTCCAGTCTGGTCCCAGAGGGTATTTGGGGATTATCTTGTAAATTCTCCCTTTCCTCTCCTGTGCCCTCAATATGTTCTATCTATATTGTAGCAGCTATGGAAATCTACCTTGGATTCTGATTAATAATGCCTGCTTTCCCACTTCAACTAAACTGTGAGCCTCTGGAGGCCAGGACTGGGTCTCTTTCATCTTTGTGGGTCCCTTTCTTGACCCCCAACAGGGGGAGCACAGCACCTTCCACAGAGGAATAAGCCCATCACCGTTGACTGGGGGCTGGAGACATTGCGTAGGCTTGAGTCCATGCTAACCTGTCATTCCTAATAATTCTATACACACAGCTGGAGAGGTTCGAAAATAGATCAGTCAAGAAGGTGAATTTTGTGCTACTGCCAATGTGAGACCCCTAAACATAGCCTCATTATAAAGTTTTCCCAGTGTGGATTTCCCTTGGGCATTATTTGGAAGAAAGAGTGGATTCCCTCATTATTCTAACCACGTTTTACATAAATAAACGTCAGCCATAGTTAACACTTAGAGGGCTTTTAGGGGTTACTCTAGATTTTTTTTTTTTTTTTTTTTTTTTTAGGTAATCCCAGCCTTAATCGATAGGTTATGGTCAGCTTCAAAAACAGTAATACTCGGGGGCACCTGGGTGGCTCAGTGGGTTAAAGCCTCTGCCTTCGGCTCAGATCATGACCCCAAAGTCCTGGGATCGAGCCCCACATGGGGCTCTCTGCTTAGCGGAGAGCCTGCTTCCTCCTCTCTCTCTCTCTGCCTGCCTCTCTGCCTACTTGTGATCTCTGTCAAATAAATAAATAAAATCTTTAAAAAAAAAAAAAGTAATACTCACAGTAACGGTGTTGTCTTCCATATATGGAGTTGGGAGTCTGATAGTTGTCATCTGGCTTAAGCTGGGGCACCACAGCCCTACAGCCTCCAGGCTGATAAGATCATGTAGAAGAAGGTTGTGACTCTCATGATAGTTTTCAGGATACTCACAGAGCCTTTTCGCCTCCAAAGGTATTTGAAATTTGGTAGTTTACAAAAGTTACACCTTTGAATTCAACTCAAAAAGCATTATTGGACACCTACTCTGTACCCCAGGCTTTGTGATACTTTGATTTCCTGCCAGCTGGAGCTCGCGTTTTTTGCTGCATATGGTAAGGAAGGTCCAATATTCCTTTAAAAATGTTGGAACAAGAGGGTAAAGGACAGATCCACCCCTGGAACCGCCCAAGGGAAGAAAAGAGCCTCGGGCACTGGTGGTGTTTGGTCCTGGTTCCAAAAACACAGTCAAGGGAAAGTGGTGGTGGAAAAATCTCTCCCCCAGGGAGAGCCCTGTTCGGTCTGTGGCTCATGATTCTATTATTCATTTGGACCTTTTTCAGGTGAGCCGTAATTTTGAGCTGGTTGGACGGGTTAACTTGGATCAGCTGGAACAGATGAAGGAAAAGATGGAGAGCTCCAGCAGTGACGATGAGGACAAGGAAGAAGAAATGAGCAGCAAGGCTGATGACAGAGGTTAGTCTCAGCCCTGCCCTTGGAGGCCCAGATGGCATCTAGCATGTCCATGGTGAGACAGAAGGGAGGCAGAAGGTTGTTGGAGGAGAAGCAGAAGGAATGATCCTTCTTAGTTAAGTAGCAGAACAGACTGACTTAAGAAACATGTCAGGGGCCATCTTCATAAACGATTACCAGCTATAGGAACTCCAAGGAAAACAGACATTTTCTAACTATAGCTATATGTTTGTAAAAAATACATGGGGATGATTTGTTTTTAATAAGGAAAACTGGTGTCTAGGGAATCTTCACAGTAAGGACAGGCAGACAGTGAGACAGGACACTGTAAAGCTGTGGGGGAATGTGAAAGAAGTTTCTGTTGGGCACTTAGGTAATACTACTGCTGCTGGGGGTAAAATTGAAGCTGGGGGGCAGGGGAGCCTGCAAAAGACTTGAGCCCTGGGCATTTCTAGAAGTCCCTCTGCCTGGTTCCTTAACCCCTTGCTCCTCTTTTTGCCCTGTGAAGAGGGAGAAAGAGGCCAACAGTTTTCATTCAACCACGTGTTTATAGGGAAAGGTTTTGTGGGATTTTTGTACTAGTTTTCCAGTTTCCTCTGAGTCCATAATTACTTTCAAAATAAAGTTTTTCAGAAGTATATTTAGCTGTAGACATACATTTATATGGTCTAGAGTTGGTGTTCAGTATTGTTCAGCATAGCACATTGTGGAAATCCTGGGACAGTGCATATCAGAATATGGGTTTGGGATCCGTTAGGTTGGTCATTGCAGATTCATCAAAAGCACGTGGATAACAAACGTGAAAAATAAGCATAGATACGAGAAGAACGATGTTAGTTACCAGCATCGAGCTTCCTTATGTGCCAGATCCAGTGTTGGTGGGTTTTATAGAACCCTTTTTCTTTCATCTTCTATAATGTAAATGGTTCTGCATTTGGCCGCTGGGATCTGGCTCCCAGTTATGCTACTAAACTAGCTCCATGACTTAGGATAAAGTGTTTTATCCCAGGTGCATTCATCATCTAAAACAATAACAACACCTACCTCTTAGAGTTGTGGAAGGCTTGGATGAGATCATGTACAAGACACCAGCCCAGTTCCTGAAAGTAACCATCACATAAATGATAACCCTGCAATGTACATGGTATTATTAGCATTTTACAAATGGGGAAATAAAGACCCAGAACATTTAAGCACTCAAAGGAAAGGAAAAAAAAAAACATCATACCTTGGAGACTGAATTTGGGTCTTTTGGCTCCAAAGGCAAGATCTCCGCACTACATCCCCAGTCCACGTCCCCAGCCCCTTGGGCAGTGGAATGTTCTTCATCGCAGGGGACCTAACCGTGAATCCCCTTTGGGCCTCACTCTGAGGTATGCTTCTACAGAGTATCTTTGTTTTTCCTCCTTGCTCCGTCTGCAGGCCTAAAAAAGCCTGGTTGGTGGCCATTTCCCTCAAAGGTTCTCCCCGTCCTTTTTCCTGACCTGCCCCACTCCCACTCCATTCCTACCATGACACCATAGCAGGAGACCACAGGTTTGCAATGTGAGGGGCCAATTAGGCCCCTCAACCCCCCCCTCCCCTGCCCCAAGACAACAGCAGGGACTGCCGGCTCTTCAAAGCCCCTGTGCCCATGGTCAGCCTGAAAAATGAACTGACGGAGAACACAGCCTACCATTCTAGGTTGACTGCCCTTGTCAAGTCACAACTTTTATTAGGAGAGGCCATAATGGTCCATTTCTTGCAAGGAAAATGGCTATGATCTAAGGAAGCATGGTTCCTATTTCTCTTTTTTTTTTTTTTAACATTTTACAAATATGTTCTTAGTGATGAATTCTTTAACGTCTGTGCACTGTTACCAGAGTTCTCTGGAAGAGGATGCTTTTGACAGAGGGTACAGAGGCTCCTTTTGCTTCATGATGCTCTGTGCCCTGCTGTTCCTCTCCAGGAAATAAATTATTCCTCGTTGGATGCTATGACTTTTTTTAATCTCTGAAGCTGAGCACATACGATTTTAGAGGTTATAAGCACGGCAGAGGCAAGAACCCCTTTTAGTCCTCCCCTCCTCTGTGATTCCTCCAAAGGGAAAGCATCGTAAATTCGAAAAATAGATGGCCGTTAGGGATGGGGGGCACCAGGCAAATTCCCTTGCTTGCCTAGCTTGGCTGCGCCCTTCGCAGGGGTACTGGGGCATCAGACCAGTTCAGTTTTTGACTGGAAAGAATTTCATGGTGTCTGATTGCTTCTCACCGGAAAGTGTAGTGTCCACGTTCGTGAGCGCTAACCCCAGAGGGAAAAAGTCTCGGGGTGGCAGAGCATGTATTCCTCTCTGAGGGTAGGGGATTTATGTAACTTCTACTGATGCTAATGGGCTTTCCAAGCCTACCCCCTATCCCCCTTGTGATTCTTGAAAGAACAGCCTCCTTTGTCTCCTCTCCTTTGAATCAATTTTCCACCATCTAGGTATATCCTTGCCAACAAGAAGAAATGGCACACAGTAGCCTCAGGGTGTTTTTGCCAGACGGTCTGTCTTCTAGGAGTAGAGCGGGAGGTGGCTTTAGCACAGCTCTCGGGAGTGATGGAGAGCTATTTGATGTGTGACAGGTAATGACTGGCCTCCTCCTTTGAGGATGAAACAGCATGAGCCACTGGAAAGAATAGATGACTGGTTTCATGTTTCCTAAGGGTAAAGGAGCAAATGTGCCAGGAGCATGCCCCTCATTGGCAGTGTAGACTTTCATCAGGCACACTCGGTTTGGGGGGCTCATGTCCTTGTAGCTCCCCCACTCCCCGTGCCCTCTCCAGCACGGGAACCAGAGACTGACCATGGTCACACCGCAGGTCCTGCCTAGGCAGCTCAGAGGGAATTTAAAAGAGAAGAAGTGAGGCATGAAGAAATCAAAATTAACCCAAGCAGAATCCTCCCCACCCCCTCTCATTATGCAGTTGGGAGGAGTCAGGAAGGCATTCTGTTGATTTCTTGCCCAAGATAATCCCTGCTAAGGAATTAATGCGCAGAGCAGATGGTGCTGTCTCATTTCCAATGAAAAGAATCAAGGAAGATAGTCTGTGCAATTATTTTTAATGGCTTGTGTGGTGATCTTCTTAATTTGTGAGAAAATGTTTCATCTTTTGTTAAAACTGGCCCCATTCACATAGCTTTTTGTGCTAAAGATTAAGGCAGCACAGAGACACCTATCCTGTTATCATCATCCTGAGGATCTTATTAGATGGAGTATTTCAACCAGGAGACACCCCCCTGTACTGTCTTGTATGTACAGGCACAGAGCGATCAGCTACGGAGAGATGATGGACATTTCCCTTCCCCTGCCCTGCCTTCACTGCGCAGCATGGCTGCAGGCCTGTCTCGGTCCTGCCATTTATTCCCCTCGGGAAGATGGGCCCTCTGTGGTATAATGAAAGACGTACGGGCTTGGGACTCAGGAGAACACAAAGGCCATGTGAGCTCTCATCTTTGAGTTTGCCAGGAGGAGTGGTCTGTAAACAATTAGCTGGCCAATCTGCCATTTTTCAGTCCCCTAGCGTGTGCCTAGCGCCATGGAGAAAACAAAATGACAGTATTTGATGTTGACAACAGGCCTGTCCAGAAATGTCTATACCCCCACATTCACGAGTACCACTGACTGAGGGGTAGATGCCAGCAGCCGGCCAGGGTCCCTCACCAGCTCAGGACATGTTTTCACACACCAGCCTCCCTGTTGTCCAGGATTCCTGTACATGCTAGGTTCTTTGCTCTCAGCTCTCATTCAGGGCCCATAGCCACCCTGTGAGGTGTGGATTAGGACATCCGTGACAGGTGAGTGCAAGCTGTGAGCCCCCCGACCTTACTTGGAACCAGCCAAAACTCTGAGGTCTGCTACGCGGAAGCTGGTCCAGTGTGTCTGTGTTCTTTTTAGCGAGCAAACTTAAACCTCTGTGGGATAGGAAATGGATAGTCGCTAACCTGGGAGTCACTGACAGAGCGTCCCCGAAGGAAGAGATGCAGCAGACAAACCTGCTGAGACACTACTGGGAGTTCTTCAGGCCAGAAAACCCCAGATTATTTGTGATGGGAGCAGCTGGGGCCGTGAGGAGGCATGGGGGTGCTGGGGGCCTGGGAACCAGGGGTGGTTCTTGAGAACTAGCCAAGAATCACCTCTAGGTGAGAAGCCGGGAGAAGAAAGAGTAAGAATCTGGAAATGGCCTTCACGGATGGTTTTACAAGTGCAGGTAGGAGAGGAGGTTTCCTAATGAATGCGGACTTACCTCTTCTGCCCCATCCCACAGCGCGCAGGTAACAATTCTGCTTTCTCCTCACAGATCTGATGAGATTTTCCGACCGTGGGGCTCCTATTAACACCGAGAAACGTTTTCCGTGTGAATTTTGCGGACGGGCGTTTTCACAGGGCTCTGAGTGGGAAAGGCATGTGCTGAGACACGGCATGTAAGTTGAGCCATCCCAAGCCATCACTTGCCCAGAGAAGTGAGAAGTGGCAGGGAGAGCAGGTTCTTTTTGTTTTGTTGTGGTTGTTGTTGTTTATGGGGTTTTGGGGGGGGGGTTGTGGTGGTGGTTGTTGTTCCCCTGACAATTCGTAGACCCTTCCATCTGTGTCACACTTCTGGGCATGGGAGGAGAGGCAGCTGTCAGAAACTAGGTTTTGTTCTTTTTTGTTGATTTTTTTTTTTAAACGGTCACCCAGACACAAGTCAAATGAGGAAAAATCATCTTTATGAATGAAAAATCCCACCCAAGTCCTCGCGTGGAAGTTTAGTGCTATTCTTCAGCCAGTGTCCCTTCAGCTTTCATTAGCGTGACATTCTCTGATAGAGCGTGGACCGGGGTCAAAAGATCTGGCTTCTGTTCCTGCCTCTGTGATGACTCATTCCCTGAGTGGCCTTGAACATGCCCTCGCACCTCTTGGTGCCTTCAGTGCTCTGCCTCGGGGACAGAGCCAGCTTCTGCCTGCCTCCCAGGTAGGTGGGAGCATACCCATAAAACACTTGCAAGATCCCTGAACATAAAATCGTCCTCTAGACAAGGCACTCTTAGCCCATGAGACAAAGAGAGAACCTAGGAGTTAGTACTCAAGTAGAAAATGCCCCGGAAACCCCAAGCATCTAAACTTCAGAGAAGATAACTAAACTTCCCAAGACATGGGTTCCATCTTCAGGTTTTTGCTCTTTGTTTCTAGGATTTGTTTCTGAACCTGTCCATTAAATCTTCACCTGAGTTCCTCTTTTTATTTAGTCTTATTAAATATGGCCAGTCTCCAAGCTTGTGAGTTCCACCATTGAGCTTGAGCAAAAAACGGTTCTTGCTACTACCACTTGTGACCTGTGACCAACCCAGTAGATGAGGGAACATAAAATAATTATGTTAATGCGTCCACATTACACATGGTGTAATTAAAACATAGTATAATAATGGATACTTTTCTAGATTCACATCTTTAATAAGAGGCCAGAAAGACATGACCTAAGCATAACAGGTAGCAAAGATAAATCACTGGCAGTTTAGTCCTACATTCGTGGCATTTATGCAAAGGAAACCCCACCGTCTTTTTAGGAGCAGGGAAATAAGGACACTTTTTTGGTTTAGTTAGAAAAAAAATGCATACTCACCTGTCTCTCCCATCAATGTTTTTCCAGGGCGTTGAATGACACCAAGCAGGTGAGCAGAGAAGAAATCCACCTGAAAGAGAGTGTGGAGGACAGTATTAAGATGCCCTCTATAGAGGAAAAGGAAGATGACGAGGCAATCGGGATAGACTTTTCCCTAAAGAGCGAAACAGTAGCCATTTGTGTAGTAGCTGCTGACAAATCTCTCCTGGAGAATGCAGAGGCCAAAAATGAATAAGCGTTTGGTGAAATTCTTAATCAAACCGTACTTGAACCGTGATGAGAAAGTGGGAGGGCCAGCTTGGGCTGAGAAGGGGGGTGGACAGAAAAGAAGACAGAACAAAGCTGCTTTTTAGGACTGAACAATCTATTTTCAAAGCACTGGTACCTGTGTGAATGAGTATGTAAATTAAAGTTATTTAAATGGTTGGAATATGTGGCTCCTTTTCCATCACTACACCTTTTCTTCCGGATCTTCATCATGGAAGTGTCATTTGTTGTGGAATATGGAAGCACCTCCCGTGTGCACGGTGTGCTCTGTGGCGGTCTTGGACAGGATGTGGAAACAGAAGCTCCATGACAGTAGAAGACTTCTCTTAGGGGAACAACTTTTTGACGCACATCTTTTGGTGCGTTTTTCTAGTTTTAATACCTTAAGCTTTTTCAAGACCTAACTGCAGCCGCTTTGGGAAAAAACAAACAAACAAAAAAAAACACAAAAAAATCAAAAACAGAGAACAAAAAACTGCTTTGCATAAAACAGTCACCTGTTTCCTAGTACCTCAAACTTAACCAAGGGAATTCTCTGCATTTGTCAGTACTACCTGTCGTCGTCGTGGTTAAATGTAGAGAGAACTGCTGGGCAAGACGGTGAATGGAGAAAAAAAAAGAGAGTTTTAAAGAAAGGAACACAAATTGTGCTTAAAATCCCCATGTGGGTTTTATTTCTTAAAATACTGTGATTTTTTTAATTATTTTAGTAAAAAACAAAACAAAAAAAAGAAACAGACTTTAATTATTAGATAACTGTTTGTGAATTGTCATCCTTTATTCCAGGTAAGCTGTTTATTAGTGTTCAACTATAATTTAGAATTTGGTAGATTCATGTGAGCTAATTTTACGGTGACTGTGGAGTTTTGTTTGCCATATGTTTATTTTCTATCAATTTGAGTGTTACAAACACAGCACAATTCAGTTTTCACATAAATTGTTTTTTGTGTGCGTGTTATTGTTTTAATTTGGGGGCAAGGGATTTTTAGTTTTTTTTTGTGAATAGGAATGTTTTTATTTTAAAACATGGAAAATAACAAAGAGGTTAACTTTTTTTCCCTTAATTTAACTAAAGAACCAAACTTTTTGGCACAGCTATGCAGCTTGTGGGCCAGATGAGGAAGTCCTCTTCACTCTTTTGTTGCTCGTCAAATTAACACATTATCCGTCTCACACAAATAATTTGTTAGAATGGGCTGGCTTTTGTGTGTGATTTTGAAATCTGTGTTCTGTTTTTGTTTGCATTGTGTTTGGGGGAGGGTTTTTCATTTATTTTATGGGACAAGGGGATGTGCTAGAATCCCATCCCTTTGGTGAGAGTGGACAAGAAATACTTATATCCTACAAGGAGCCTGGAGAACTACTTTTTTTTTTTTTTTTAATCTAGCTGCCAGCTGCTCTGTTTCCCCATCTTAGCTTTTTCAGGAGGGAGCAGCTTAGACTAAATCTAAGTCTACATTTATAATATGTTCTGATTGTGAACAAAAGGTTTCATTCCAAAAAAGTAGAAAAGAACTTTCCTTGAAGCCTAGGTTATAGAGAAGCCTGTGTGTGTGTGCTTTGATGCGTGTGTGCTCATGTGCGTGTGTGTGAGTCCTTTGGTTTTCATGTTTTGTTTTGTTTTTGTTTTACTTGGAAGGGTTGCGGGAGGGGGAGGGAAGAAAGGGACAGGGAATTGCTGAGATGACAGTGTCCCACACAGCTTCAAATAAAATCCATGGAAAGATATTGCATTTGTGGAATAAGTGCTTACTTGAAAAGCATGTTCTTCTTTTATTTTCTTGCTGTTAAGAAATTTTATTTGTAGGGTGTTTGTTTTAATTTAATTTTTTTTTTTTTTAGGGATGGGGGCCATCATGTGGAAACCAGAAAATGGGGAAAGTGTGATCTAGACAAAGATAACATTTTGTGTCCATATTTGTTTTTAATTGGCCTCATTTCAAATGTATTAAACAGTTCCATACCTGGATTGGGTGTTTGTAATGGTTACCAAAAAAAAAAAAAAGAAAAAGAAAAAGAAAAAAAACAACAAACAAGAAAAAAAAAAAAGGAAAAAAAGGAAAAAAAAAAGAAAAAGGAAAAAAAAGAAAATAATTGTGACATGCTTTTATCACTACTTTATTTTTCAAATAACATGTAAATATTGTAATCCATTGGATTTTGTTTTGCTAACCTGTTAATAAAAATATGGGACCATTATCCTTTTAACAGGGCTAGAATGTCATTTTTTTTGTTTTCAAACATACCTGATATTTTGTGGCCGCACATTTTGGATGCATTATTATAATTCTGTTGACTGTAATGACATAGAATTTACAACATTTTTTTTTTTGTTTAATTTATACAGAGGACATTTTTTTTCAGAGCTTGAGAGAAGAAGAAAAATAGCAAAATGAGAACCTGTTGACTCCAATAATCAGTGTTTCCCAGTACTTGATAGGAGAGAGGGAGATTCTGAGTTCTTGAAGCCAAGGGTTTTAAAAACAACAAAAACACACAAGTAGGTTATTCAAGTTGTTTGCAACATACATTTTTGTAATGAAATGTGAGAAATTAATAAAGAATTTTTTTCACATGTGTCTATGTGCATCTGTTGTAGATCATTTACAGATATGACCACAGATATGAAATGTAGGAATAATAACATAGCATTGCCTGCACTGCATGTACAGGAGGGCTAATTCAAGCCATTGAACCTATGCAGGTATGGAAAACAAAGGTCATATTAAAGTGAGGTGTGAGCTGGGATTTTAAAAGTTAACATTTCTGCATCAGGTATGTATCACCAATTGGATTTTTATAGAGGAAGGTTTTCCATCAAAAATGTAAATCAAAATGGTGTGTGAAGGTTTAGAAAGAGGAAATACTAGTGATTAAATGTCATCTGTGGACCCTGAATCCATGGGGACTTATTTTAAGCCAACAGCAAGACAAAACCACTGCCACAAACTATCTTACTGTGCATCTTGCACTGGTAATTGTTACCGTTAAAATATTCTTTGAGCTACCCTGTTATAAAAACAAAGGAAAATTAATAGGTCATGAAAACTAGAGGAAGAGTAAATTAAAATCAGCACCAACGGTTAAACTCAGAGCTGATTTATACTGTCTGTCTTCACCAGGGTTAGAGGAAAGGTTCATTGATCTTTTGTCCAGAGCACATTCTAAAAATGTGGTCCTCACCCTTCTTTGTCCACTTTATCTCTTCCACAGAGGAAAATTTTTAAGATAAGCATATAAAACAAAATGGGAAATAGATAAGTCAGAACCTAAAGGAAAAAGGATTGAGTAGCAACATAATTATAGTAGAGAACTGGCAAAAGTGCATCCCAAGAGGCCATGCATAAGCCATGTATTTGGTTCAGAGCTTCCTGGTAGGTAAAGCAATGAAAGATCAAGAATCACATTTCTAGTAAATTTATTACCAAATGCTCAAGAGATACTCAACCTTTTCTAAAACTACAAGTAGGGAAGTTTCTTCTATGTTTTTCTAAAGAAAGCAATGTAAAAGTTGTCCCCTGTAAAACAGCTCTTATGGCCACCATCAAATATTTAATGAACAGTGTTTTTACTGAGTTGATGTCTAATTCATATTCCCACTTCGTTTTGTGGAAATGAAGTGGAATTTGCTGATAGGTTAGTCATGGTAGCAGCTACAGCAAGGCAACTCCTTGGAACCCTAGAGATACACCTCCATCTGCTACTGCCATCTGAACACACGAGTCCTGGGATTATTGTTGAGAGCTTTGGGTGATCTACTTCTGTGCCTCACCCAGGAAGTAGCACACCTCACTTCTAGTCTTGCTGCAAGGGCTAGATCTGGTCTAGCCTTTGTCTACCTGTGTCCCCAGGAACTTAATAGAAGTTTCCTTTGGAAACAGTAGGGGGACAAAAACCCTCTATTCTTAAAGCACAAGATACTGGTCTCATCACCTATGCCCTTAACCGATATTTTTGAGCAAATATTTGGTGGTGGTCACTGCATAACAAATGACCAACATGGCACCTTCTCCTGATACCTCATGAATGGTGAGGCCAGAGGGACAACGTGGGAAAAATGAGCAGCACAGGAGGTCTGGGACTTGCGAGACCACCAGCTACCTCTGTGGGTACTGGTAACCCTGGGGAAAGATAGCCTTGACTGTGAACGCCTTTTCTCGGTCTGTCTAAAAGCTCACATTTGATTTATTGAGAGCATACGAGAAATTGGTTCCCCATACACATTTGGAGGGTCTTTAGCCCTGGGTTTAATAAACATTACTATAGGATGTGTTCTTCCCTTGTAACTCTATTTCAGGGCCAGGGGTGTGCTAGGAGACTGCACTCGGTCACAGACACTAAGATGCTTTGAGGTATTGTGCTCATTATTCCGTGAAAATGCCAGTTCTTTTCCAAACACCCTGCTCTGCACATGCCGTTCCCTCTGCCTTCAGTGAACTCCTTTTATTACCCGAAATTACCTGCCCTTTAAGACAGCCTCAATATAACTTCTGATGTGATGCCCTCCCTGACTCTACCGTCACCCTACTTATCACCTGTCCCCTGCCTTAATAAACACTTATTGAAGACTTGTCCCCACCCCACCCCCTGCTCAGACTTTAAGTAGCTGAGACACATTGCTGTCAGATGCAGCTAGCCTTTTTAAATTCAAATATATTCCTGTTGATACCAAGTGTTACTTCTCATCTGATTTGGCATCGACGTTACATTTTCTTTCGGAGCCTGAGATTGCTTTTTTAAATATCTAAGTAAAAATATGCAGTTTGGTAGATGAAAAATGTCTTTGTCTGAAACTCTAGGCTCTCTGGAAAAACATCAGAACACAACACCAGCACTACCCCTCAAGAGGTCACTTTGGCCATCCCCCTGCTGTCTTGCTCCGATGTGAAGAGGAAAGGGATGGGGAGGTCCGCTTGGTCTAAAGAGCAGGCATTGGTGGTGCCCGACAGGGGTGTGGGGTAGGGGAAGCAGAAGCCAGAACTGGCAGTGATGGTGGCAGAGATGTGTGGCAGTGACAAGGGGGTAGACTGTGTGAAGATGCAGAGTGGTGAAGGCAAGCCTCGAGGAGGAGGAGGGTAGCTCCAGAGGCAGGGTTGAGGAAAGACGTTTTCTTGGAATGGAAGACAGTTGGACACGTTTATCATCCCGAGGGAAGGCAGGGTAACTGGCAAGCGGTCTCATCCGGGGATCCTGGCCATAGCAGAGGAATGGGCTTCGCAGATGGAGAGGGACTCTTTCCTCCTAGGGGGTGGGGGGAGGGAAGGAAGAGGAAAGGAACGCGCTCTCCGTGTGCATCCACAGGTGGAAGATGCAGGTGGGGACTGGGTTCATGCTGGTGAACCCAGTCTTTGAGGCGGGATCCAAAGTGGCAGGTGGGGGATGAGTTGGCAGAGAGATGGCGATTTGGAGCTTCTACTGAGGGCCACGTAGAACTGAGTGGAGGGGACGGGGAAGAAGAACAGTTACTATATTCTCCACAGGACAGTAACAGCTTACTCCGAAGCTCTGGGGTAATAGAGCTTTCTCTAGGACTTCCCTCACCACCACCCCCTTCCTCCGTACACACCACAACCTCCATCACCACCTAATAAAGAAAGGAAATGGACAGACAGGGAGAGCCAGAGCTCTTGGAATCAGAAGGGATACTTCCTTTCTCCGCCTACTTAATTATCTGGCTTTTTGAATTAGCGGTGGAAAGCAAACTTGCCTTGTTTCTATTCAGTTTCTCTCTTGAGTTTGTTCCCATTAATGAAACAGCTTAGTTTGGTTTAGCTAACTGCATGCATGACTTCCAAAAACCACATCACAATGTGGGAGGAATGCAGCCTCTAGCAGTCCTACAGCAGCTTAACCACACTGTTTAGAGAGAGGAGCGGGGCAGTGCCAGTGGCTCTGAAATCCATTTAAGATGTGTGAAAACACAAGATTGAAATTCTGACCTTTCCCCCAAGCTGAAAGAACCTACTCCAGGGGGCTGTTTGGATGACTGCGGCTGCAGGCCTGGGCCCAACCATGGCTCCCCAGGACCCTGGCTGCCAGTGGCCTGTCCAGCTGGGAAGCCCTGCCTCTCTGTGTCCATCTGTCCCTGATGAGGGCACCAACCTGAAGGCTGCCGGACACTTTGGATGAGGAGATGCTGCTAAAACAATAGCACTGAGGCCAGAAGAGGAGGGAGGTCGTCAAAGGGCAAAGAGAGGAAATCCTTATCTAAACCCCGTGGGTCCAGGTCAACGGTCCCCCACAGCCTTTTCAGATTTGCATCAGAGAGGGAACACTTCCCATGGGCTTGCTGCTGTTAACCCAGATGTCAAAATGTTAGAGGCATCCTGGGGCAGGAAGAAGGGCATGGAACTTGGAATTAGTCACATACGCGGTATAATGATTTCATATACAACTAGCACTTAGCACAGCACATTTCTCATAGTCTGTGCCCAATTGATATGAGCCATCATCATCCTTGTCATGTGATCAACTCCTTAATGATTTGGAATCTTTGCTTCCCCATCTGTCGATGCCAATGAAGTCTTTTCCTTCAAGAGGCTACAGATGAACATAGGTGAGAAAGAATGTGACGTATTTGGCCCCTGAATCTATGAGCTACTAATTTTTCTCCTGCTGGGCCCTACAAAAACGTAAAGGGTGTGGTTTCTTTAGATGGAATGTGTCATAACAGAAGATCTTTAGCTCACAGTACAGGCTCTGGGGTCGAACAGAGCCACGTTTGAGTGTCAGGTCATTTTCTTATTTGCTTCGAAAGGTTTGACAAGTTTTCAGCCTTTCTGTGTCTGGTGTCTTGATACGGTGAAGACAAGCAGTGTGTACTGTGAAAAATGCAAGGGGATGAGGCAGAGTCTAGAGCAGAGGAGGTCCACATGATGAGAAATACTGCTTCTTGAGAGCAGGGGCTCTCTTCAGCTTCCTGTGGTATTCCTACACCTCTGAGCACACCTGGACCATTGAAAAGGGGCTCCATAAGAATTTATGGCCTGCCTGACTGAGGCGTGA